ATACTCTTGTCAAGATACCGATGAACTTTTAAATATTAGCATGGAACTTCACCGTCTTATAGATGATGTTGATTCGAATTCTACCACTCCATTAGATCCGGAAATTAGATCAATTATTTCAATTCTTTCCCGTCAGATCGCCGAACTTTTTAATAAAAATACGGAATATGATGATTTCTTAATTCGAATGAATGATGATTTAAATTTATCTCGTAGTCACCCGGATACTGGTTCCATCAACTACTACTCTCAGCTACCCACTCCTGGTTTATCAAATAGTTCTGATTCCTTCTTTGACGTACATAATGCAATTCGTCGCAATGAAAATTCTATCTACAATGTTACTACTTCGAATGTTAACATATCAAACATATCAAACATATCAACAATAACAACTACAACAACAATAGTTGACCAAAAAAAGACAACCCGTCAGCAAATGAACCCGCTCGCCACATTGTGGTTCATTAAATACTTAATCGATCACGATCTTTGCAAACCTGATAAAAATAATCGCCATTTACTTTCACTTTTGACGAATGTTCCGGAACACGATATTGATCGGTGGTTTATAAGGACCAACCAAAACTATATTAAATCAAATGATAAGAAAATTGCTCGTGAAAAATTGAACGAACGTGCGAAAACTACCAGCAAACAATTACGGAGGTCAAACTCATTAAAAACAAGTGGTTCGAATTCTACACGTGGATCGCCGTACACCAAATCCACTCGCAGTCAGCGTGATAAGCATAACATAAATCCAATTCCTAGGATTTAAGAGGATGATATTGAACTCTTTGATTATATTTATTCTGCTTTGTGATTGCAATTTCCTTTTAACATTTAGCATTGCTACGTTTTTATCTTTGTATTTATTATTTTCTTTCTTTTTGTAAATATAAGTTTAGAAAGATGTATATAATGCTATGATGTATATCTATGATATTTGTTTTGTCTAGCATTTTTATTATTATCCTAGATGCTGCACAATTGCTGTGTGAATTTTCAAATTCTTTATAGTACTAATCTTTAGAAATTCAGCCATTCAATACCCCAAGTTATATTATGGATAGGATATAAATTTCATTTTTACTTTAAGTTAGTTTGATGTTTAATGATGTAAAAAATTTTTAATACAAGCATCTGGCATGCATAATAA